TTCAAGATTTACGATTATGTCCTCTTTTGCAATAATTCTCAATTTTAGTAACGTAATGTAAAAATTTATGGTAAACATCAAAATTTACGCTTGCGCGAATTCAAGAGACCTTCGTAACAGCGCAATCTTTTAGCGGAAGATGCAGCCATCGCTCCATTTCAGAGTACCTTAAATATTTTTCTCAGCCGGCTAAAAAGCCGCCCGCTACGAAACTCTCGACTTTACTGCCGCAAAATCCGGAGTTATGCTCGGCGGATTGGTTCGATCCAGCTCAGAAGAACCGCTCGAATACGGCCGGCAAATGCTTATACTGAACATTCTCCTATGTCTGCTTCTCTTGTCGAGTACTTCTTCGAGTGTGACGTGTATCCGCTTCTCGGCTTGGAGTCTCGCGTGAAAATGCTGCCGAGCCGCGTTTCTCGACAGCGTGTTTTTCTCACGCGAGAGGACCGCGATGCGTAACATTCAGTCTATTAGACGGGATCGTGATGATCCTAAGCCCTGGCAACATTTTTTAGTGAGAGACAGTGAGAGATTGTATTTATATCTGTTTATGAGAATTTTGTGAATGATTACACTACACGGAGAAAATTTTATATTAAAAATTACTATAATGTTGTAGAAGTTGCGGACTATCATGACAATTATAAGTTTAAATGCTATAGCTATTTTTTTTTAAACAATAATGCAACGTAATTTTTACACTTTTTTACAGTAAAAATTTTTGATTACAAAATCAAAACTTGTTGAATAAAAATTAGTATTGTAAAGATAAGTAAAAAATATATACCTAGCAAATTTTGTTTGCATACCATAGTAAAAATTAACTGTTTTCATATTAGAATATGGCTTAAGGCGGCACTGGCTTTTAATAAAAATTACTTTATTTATGTGATAAAAATTAGTATTACCATAGTAAAAGTTATGTCGGAATCATGTTGTGATAGTCCATCGAAAATACAAGACATAGTAAAGTGTAATTTAAAATTGTGTATTAAAACTTAATATAAAATTTTCTCCGTATATGTATGAAGATTTTTATTGATAGTCACACTGTTTAAAAGCACGTTGCAAACCTCTTCTGCATGATGATAACATTTTATAAATACTTTAGAAAACTGTAATGTTTAAGATTATATCATTAAACATCAAGTAAACACTTCATTCGTAAACGTTTCATAATCAATTCAATGCTTAAATTGCTATTTCATAATACAATAAATATTTTAAAGATTAATAAAACATTTACTCAACATTTTAAGCAAATTTCTTTTAAATCTTTATTCCGTTTGAAATCTGTTTTTTTATTTTTCTAGGCATTCAAAAAATGTAAAAAAATTCAGGATTGTTTTTTAATATCACTATTATGTTACTGAATAATTTTTTAACAAGATATTTCAGGAGGGGGAACTAAACTACGTTCTTTATTTTGAAGAAATTTTAAACAGTGAAATTTTACTTGTGCCAAAAATCTCAGATTACAGACGAAAGGTTGAACATACTATTTTTGCCAAGAAGTTGGATTTAGTCTAAGCAAACGAGCGTGAACAAACACGAGTGAACAGCTTGCTTCATTGAGTGCCAACAAGCACGAATTTACATCGATGTTCATTCGGTTTCTTATAGCAATGCAATAAAGAAAGCTTGCTATATTCACCTATGGTAGTTTGTGATCGTTCTTTTTCTTGTCACTTTAGTCTGCAGATGCATTTTTGTAGCGTGTCTTATCGCGGATCGCTTGTCCCAAACAGTGCGTGAGGAACGTGGCTGCAAGAGACACGGTGTCTTCCTCGACCTGCGAGAAAGTTTTCAGTTATATACGACGAGTAGAAATGTGACGGGTTTTATATATACTATATATACACATATACCTATACGCGCACAGAAAACCTTTCCCCTTTTCATGAAATCCCACGAAATTAAGCCGTCAGGAGACAGGTCTTCTTAATTCATGTACGGTCGACTTTAATTCCGACCCGACGGAATCTCCCATTTGTGTGTGATATTACTTCTATCGCGTCGGGAGACAAGCTTCGTGTCACAAGAGAAACTTTTAATTGGATATTTTGAAATCTGTAACATGCGGAATGGGACTTCCCTTTTATCTACTCACTAGAGGGAAAACCGCCTTCTCTCCCGGCGTGCAGGTTGTTTTATACCACAGGTGCCGCATGCTAGATCGGTGAGAAGGAACATTGAGCGATTTTACGCGACATTGGCACGCTACGAAGTATTCCTAGATGCCTATCATATAAAGTGTTGAACTTGAATTTTTATGACTATATTTACGATGCGGTTTATATTTTCCAATATTTTTATATAAATTATGTACATCAATTTTTTAAAATATAATTCGGAGCGTGATGTTCTTATGATATAAAAGATACATAAATACTGAAAACAAATTTTCAATTTTATAAAAATATTTATGATGTAGTATATTTTATACACCGATCTGAGATATAACAATAAAGAACTTTTAAATAAAAAGTTTTTGAAGATTATATGAGCTGGGATCTTTGTAGATGTTCATAATTGTGCACGGAAGTAAATATTACAAACGAATGAGTTTGTATGCAATAATATTGATTTATGTTGTTTACGTCACTGCACTGTAATAATATACATAAGTAATATAATAATAAGCTTGCAAATGAACTTATAATTAATTACATAAAAGCAAAGTGAATAAACTGATTGTGCCAAAGAGTTATTTCCATTAGATAACCATGCACACGCGCATATAGTAGTTAGTTTGAATCGCACGATTATTTTAGCAATAATGATAATGAAACTATTCTCTATCCAGTGCTTCACCTAAATTATAATTATCATTTTTCTAGCAAAATTTCACTATGGCGTATCGTATGTTACTTAATTATTATACTTGGTATACTAATTTGTTACTAATATAATTAAATTTTTTTAAAAAAGCATTATTATTTTTGGCCAAAAATATAATTTATGTAAATATAAAGTTTATTATTCTTTATTTTCTAAAAAAGTAAAATTATATTTCTTGTAAAATAGTTAATTTGAACGTCAGAATTTGTAATATAATGTATGTTACATACCTGGTTTTCACAAACTCATTACAATGTTACTCTCTTTAACGAAATTCTCTCTCTACACTTCTTTACAATATTGTATTATAGTGCAGTGCAAAAAAGTTGGCAACTTTGGTTGGACATTAGCCAGTTTTATGTTTAACGCGAAAACTCGTTCTTGTCGTCAAATGCTCATTCATTTCTTATTTCCATTGTCGTGCATTTTCTAAATTGCAATGACTTTCTTATGCATTCGCAAATGGAAGCAAGTAATATGCGTATGAAAATGTCTAAATGTTTAAATCTAAATAAGAAACAATTACATAATTGCATAAGCAGAGCATTTTTATTATTTTATTTTAAGCAATTTCTAACGTTGACTAATTTGTCTGTTCAGCTTGAGTAAAAAATAATTTACAATCAAAAAATAATTATGTTTATTGTAAATATCGAGTAGTTGTGAATTTATTACACGACTAGTCCGACCAATTTGAAATGAATAAAAAAATTTTAGAAATATAAAGTGATTAGATGATAATATATGTTTCATATTATAGTTACATAAATATATTCAAAGTTTATTTAAGCATACGACAAAAAGTTTGTGAATAAAATTATTATGGTATGTAATACTTTCTTAAAAGGACGTTAAATCTCTTCGAGGTAGGGAATACATTATCAAGTGCAGTATATAAGGTCCCGCAAGCTGTGGGCTGTGATTCTATGTTAGCGTACTCGTTTTTCGGTCGCCATACGTTAAAAAGCTGCAGGTTGAATTGGGGTACCGTTTTATTGATTGCGAGGACAGCAAGAGAAGACATCGACGATGTACTTGGTTCCGGGCGGGTTAATGGAGAAAAGGGAAATTCGATTCGGCGGTCGGGCACAGTAGATATATAGAAATGTGTTCCCCCGAACCAATATCGCTTGTCGGCGATTTCCAGACGAATGGAAATGCTCAGAGCGTGCATGGCGAATGTCCGATATAATCCACAGTGGGTCCACGCATATTATTTCGGTTCGCAGATAGAAAATTCGTTCGATTAACGCAGCGACATTAGTCGATTTCATCATAATTATTGTGGCCTTTCTTTATTGTAATCAAATATCTGCAATAACGAATTATTATCGCGCTCATTTAATTTAAAGAATTAATAGTGACGCGTTGATTCTTATTTGTTCTTTTTTCTTTGAAATACCTAAAACATTCTTAGTTTATCACCGCAAGAAGGTCAACAATTATCGATATAACTTTTGAATAGATATAGTGATGGATTTTGCAAAAACTTAAATGCAAGAAGAATTATTTTGATTATTTTAGATTGAAAATTATTAAAAGATAGTTTGTTCAAAAATTATCTACAGAAAGAATAAAATATTTGAAGATACTGAAAGAATATCATAAAAAATAAACAATGCAAGATCGTAAAAGATTATTCAAAGCGTTTATGTAACCATTTGGATTGTTTAGTCAGTCGGTTCTTCATTCATGAATAATATCGTTTAAAAAAAGAGTAACGAATGAAAAGGAAATAAAAGGGATCTTACGTTTTGAAGAGAAAGAATTGTCCTACAAAATTAAGATCAGATGAAACATGGATTCTATCACGAAACGATTACTTCTGACATCGTTTCAATAGGTCACATTAAAATAGGTTCACTTCTTAGCTCAGCGTTTTTATAAATTTTAATTTTATAGTTTATTAAGATTTACTGTTAGATTGGCGCAACACAGAAGATAATAAAAATGAAAGAAGCTTATATTATCTTTCTAAATTTTCAAGTATAATTCTATATAAAAAATTTTATATATGTAGATGTCGGATATAAATCTCTAATATGTAAATCTGATTGTTTTTCTGATTTTATTTCTATTGAATAATCAATGATAGAAGATAAAATATACTTTTATTCATAATGTCAGAATATAAAGTCGATTTTTGTTTGTTCCAGGCGAGCTTTGTCGTCCACTCAACTGCAAGAAGAAGGAACTTTGCCTTTTGGAGGACACGTTTACGGCCGTCTGCGTTTCGAAGAAAGAGCTTCACAAATCAGGGTAAATATCGAATTCGAGTATTCTCATAGTTTTGAATGGAAAGATATTTTAAGATAAAATATCCTTATAGTTAAATTAACATTGTTGAGTATTCTTTACTGAAAACTTGAATTTAATTAGCTATTAATATTTTTGCACGAAAAAATAAATATTATGTATTATACATATAATGATTAAGGATAAAAATGTTAATGTATAATGCAATATTAATATCGCTTGGAAGTAAAGAAGACAATTCTTGAAAATTACTAATGATATAAAATTCTTGAAAACTCCTATAAATGAAAATGAATGCAAAGAATTAACATTATATTATACAAACACAAGGTATCCATTTTAGAGATATTATTTAATCCTGCTGGTCTATTTGACTCAAATTGTAATTTATTTTTTAATTTTTTATTAAAAATTTTTTTTTCTTATATTTGATGACTTCGTCTGTTATTGTAAAATTTTTTTTATGAAATTTTTTTTTCTTTTTATTATGCCCCAAACGTGTGACCCAAATGATATAATCGTAGTGAATTTGAACAGATCTACTAAGGTTAAGGAATTATTGATTTAATTTTTATATATCAGAAATATTTCTTATATAGTGTCGTATTTATTGTGAAAGCAAATATTTTAGTTATAAGAATGTATAACACGTTACAATTTAACAAAGATAAATTTAACATTCTGTTGTTATATAATTAATAAAAATTGTACACTACATGGTATTTAAATGTATTGCTATATAATAGTGTGTTCAATGTCCCATATATTGTCCAGCATTTCTAAGCTTATGTGTTTATCGCATCATTTACCTTGCGTTAAACAGAAGTCTATCTAAATCTTCGGTCTTTACTTGGCACCAGCAACAATAGCCAATCTCTCGGAAGAAAAAGCTTCGTTGCGTAGTGCGCTGAGCCAAATTGACTTGCCGCAAACAATGATAACGCGCATACCGTCGTTCGAGCTGTTATTCGCGACTAAATAGCGATCTTCCGAAACACCTTCTCTAACTTTCTCCATTCATTGCCAATTTCATAGCACGTCAATTTTCGCGGGACTAAATAGTTGAAATTCTCGACATTCGTACTCCGCCGACGTTGGCACTAAGCAGCGCTGATATTAATGACGATATCGTATCCCCGCAAAACGGCATTAAACCACCGATCGACTGAAGCCGTCCCGGTGATCATTGATTCCCTGTGCGGTGCTTATTGCCAATTAACTGTAATTGGACATTTACATGGACGATGTATGCGCGCATACATATCCCGCGTACGGATACCTTGATCGACGATATTCATCTTGAAGCACCCGTACGACATTAAATGACCTTAATGCGTCATTAACGGCTAAGCAGCCCGATGGGTTTGCCTTGATAAATCGATGCCCCTGTTCGAGATTAATTTTGCACACGCTATGGTGATCGTAGGGATCGAGTTTCATTTTCGCGTATCGATCTTGTTTCCATGTTCGATCAAATTCTCAATATATTCCGAAGATTTTAATCTTATACGATTTGTATGTAATTCGAAAAAGCGGTTTATACTCTTTTTTTAGAGTGAATTGTGTCACGCTGAAGAATGAAATCTCATTCTTACATTTAATATTTCATCATCTGGTTAACTTGTTAAGTTTAATATATTTCATCCAATAAGCTTCACCCATGACATCATCATAGATGAAATCCATTGGATAAAACAATCAGGTTAAGCCTAATCATAAGTTAACCAGAAAATGAAAAACCTTTTTCAAGACTGATTTACTTTTCATTCTTTAGAGTGAGATTCCACTTCAAAGAATTTAGAGAGTATAAATGCAATGAAATAAGTAAACAATTTTTTAATAATATCCTAATATATCGGCAAAGAACATTGTTAAGAAATTCTCTAAATCTGAATCAGTGGATAATAACTGATATCAGTACCAAGTATGCTACTGATAATCAGTGAATGAAATGTGAGATCCCTAACCTAGCTAACCTTTAATTAATCTTGTTTTAGTGCACAAATTCAATGAATATGGTATTGGAAGATTAAAATTAACGTGCAAATATCAGTATTTTAGTTATATAATGTTCAAGCTTTGTTTCTTTTTTAGTTGGACTTTATATTGATTATGCAAGTATGCCACAGGATAATCAGTGAATATATCCACTGATTTAGAGAAAAAGCATGTTATAATAAAATAATTAAGGAATAATAATATTGAGGATTCTTAAATTGCATTGGTGCACTAATTAATTTTATGGAAATAAGTTTTATCGTAAGTTTTGCCTCGTGAAAAGTGAACATCCACATGCAAACGTGAGAGAAAATTAGATAATAAAATTAGATAGCTTTCCAATTTTGTATGTACGAAATATATTTTTAAAAATGATGTAAAAGAACATTAAATTAACAATTTCTTAAATAACATCTGAAATAAATACTTATATTTAGATATTAAATATTGTTATATCGATTAATGTTATCTCATCTCGGAAACTAATTAAAATTCGACGTCGCTGAATTTTCCTTTCCAATGAAAGCATCATAACTTTTTACCATGACTTTTTTTGAGGTGTAAATGTATAGTGATCTCCACGTTAAATAATCACGAAAAATTGCTTTTGATAAAGCAGACTCACCATCGTAAATGCAATTACATCGTTTCGCAGCCGCGGGCAGATATAAAGTAATAATACGACGATGAAACAAGAAACTGTATCTACCAAGTTGACGCAATCTCTTCAGCAACGAATCAAGAACAGAAAAGCACTAAATTCCCGGATGTATTTCATTTGATTGTGCTAAAACGGGATGCTATATCAACCTAACGAACGTCGGTGAAACTCAGGATTTAGAATGGCGCACGTTTAAATACCAGGAGTTTAGCTCGGTGTAACGTAGTTCGAATAATGGCCGTTTAATTTTTGCCCCGCGTAAAGCTAATTCACGCTTCGCGTCTGTAATTCCTAGGGCGTGGTATCTCCAGTGCCTCGGCAGGGTTGTAGGACACGAAACTTCATAACGAGCATTAATTCATCGAATAAAGTAGGTTCTATGCAAATCGCGCGCGTCTGAATTGCTCTTGCAAAAGTTTCCAAAGCCCGAAATAGAACAATTAGAATTTGAAGTTAACCCGTCGAGCTTGTGTTTTATTTCTTACGCAAAAAAACTTGTTGTATTGTTTAATAATTATTAGTAAAACTTTATATTGGATGAGAGATAAAATAAGAACATTGCACAGGTCTGTAACATTTTTTTCTGCAGTTTGGAAAAAAAAGTAGTTTTTTATACACAATAGAATAATATATGTAAAAAGATAGCCAAAGATGAGCGAAAAATAAGATTTACTATAATTAAAATAATTTTAATGTTTGATTTACATTAATCTAGCGAAACTAGTTTCGATCCCCTACTGAATCTTCTTCAGTCGCAAAGTATATTACATTAAAGTATCAATTGATATTAAAAGTCTTACATTATAAAAAGTCGCAAAGTATATTATAATACATTAGTAGTCAATTGATATTAAAAGTCTTACACTATAAAAAAATCGGAATATGTCGACTGTAGTATCGATTCGGTTAGACGTTCTTTTGATGTTGCAAAAATAGCCTAATCTGACGTAACATCTGGTAATTTAAAATGATCTAAATTTAAAAATGATTTACAATTAATATTTGATAATAATTTAGAATTGAATTACAATTTGTTGAATCTATAGATCCGGAATTATAACAAAGTAACTTACATGTAAATTTATGCTTCTGATCCTAACGACAGTCGTGTGCGAAATGGCAAAAGAGACATGATCCGATATCAAATGACATTCAACTTAACAGTAAAACCAGCAACACAAACACTCAATAATCGTTATTACTGATCCTATCAAGGATATTGAAATAAGATTCATTTAAAAGTGCCGTGTCTTATAAACACTCAATAATCGTTATTACTGATCCTATCAAGGATATTGAAATAAGATTTATTTAAAAGTGCCGTGTCTTCTTTGGCATTAACCCTTTGATATGGATCATTTCAGATATTAATCTCTTATAATAATTACTTTCTCTATCTAGAATTTTAACGTCAGACCAATCAAACGTGTGATTATTCTCTAATATATGACCAGTAATAACAGAATGTTTAGTTATATCTTGATTCATGTTCTTTTTATGCTCCATTACTCTTGTTTTCAATTGCTGGATATTATTGGTCACAGTTTTTTATAGTTTTTTTTGCGTCGAATCCAAATCTGCAAGGAGAAATACTATCGGATCAAATTTATAAGAAAAATGTAGTTGAAACGCTCCAAAAATGGGTTTTTAAATTTTTTAATTTTTTTTGAAAATTTGTAGATTGTTGATGAACCCGATAAGCGAAAAATTTCGAAAAAGACTCAAATTAATGCTTGAACATTCCCGTACAGTACAAATTATTTCAGAAATATTGCAACAACATTATAGTGTTCCAGCATTATTGCGGTAACATTGCAAACTGCAAGCTTTTGTGTTATATACTTTAATATAAAAATATTGAATCTTTTACTGGCCGGCATTCTCGAATCTCTGATATGCCTTATTTTTAAGAGTAGATGTAATCGCAGTGGGTGGATTTAAGAGTGAATGTAGTCACAATGAGTGGGTTTAAGGATGTTTGGTTATACAATATCAGTTAAGAGTATCAGTTAAACAATCAGTCAATATCATTAAAAAATTTTAACGAGATTAACCTGTGAATATGCTCTGAAATCAATTGCAAAAAAACAAAACAACAAATAATTTGGCTCATAATGTTTTATACAGCAAAATAACTATATTTTTGTAGTTTTAGGTCAATAACTTTTAAACGAATATAAGTGGATCCAAATAAACTATTGCACGAACATTTATTATTGTTTAATCAGTGTATGTTTAAAATTGTATTTAATTATTAATGTTACTTTTTCATCAAATTTGCAAATAAGTATTACAGAATGCGATTTTATATAAGAATCAAAACTAAAAAATTAAATAACTTTTAAACCAATAAGAGAATTGTGCTCAAATTTTATACGTATATATTTAGATGTAACTATGAAATTTTTATATTTTTAATAATGTTTTGAAATGTGACCTATATATTCTTAAGGGTGGATGCGTAGTCGCAGTGTCAAGTAGAACGATCATCCTACGCAGATAGTAAAAATTTCAGTAGTGGATTTGATATGGCAATAAAAGATTACATTTAAAAAATTGATTATATTTAAAAAAATATTTTTTTACGCAAATTGTAATCTTCTATTCCCACACATAAAATCCACTATTAAAATTTTCACTTTCATGTTTTATTTGCAATGGTTTTGCACTGGGACTGTATGAGGCAATCGTTCTACTTGACACTGTATAACTACACCCACTTCTAAAAACAAAGCGTACGAGAGATTCGATGATGTTGTCAGTAAAAGATTTGATATTTTTATATTAGAGTACAATGTTTAAGCATTAATTTGAACCTTTTTCAAAGTCTGTAGGGGACATCGATTTTATTAATTACAAAATTTTTAAAACACTTTAAAAACGCATTTTTAGGAAATTTTAACTCTATTTTTCTCGTAAACTTGACGTAATAAAACATTCTTATTTGAATTCAAATTCACAAAGAAACCTCTTGTTGTTTTCCAAACCGCAAAATCATGCAGTCCTCACTGCATTTTAAATGTGTAAAAAGTAATTTCAATGTATAATATGTATGTGATTAGTGCAAAAATAATACACTATACTGCATATAAATACAAATTATGCATTTAAACTTGTATAGTATAGTGTAATTTTTACATGAAAAACTAAATAACACATATATGCTCAAGCCATTTGTTACACACTTGGATTTGCAGTGCTGTGTTATTATTTATTCACGATACAGTTACAAAAGGAATTTTTATATTTTTCTTATATTCAACAATTATATTTTTATAAGGTTAAAACAATATCTTAAAAACTTTCATATACTTTAATACAACAGAGTCATTATTTTTTTTCTTAATACCAAATAGCATAGTGAAACGTTACAAAACAAATGAGTTCCAATAACCAATAAAGCGGAGTTGCTCATTTGAAACTAATTAATTTCTTTACATTTCTAACATATTAAACCAATAATTAGTGCAGCACTAATTACAGTAACATAAACTAATAATATAAATTATATTACGATGCATTTTCAGAGATATAGTGATTCCAAAGTCTCGTGCAGTTCAACAGCGACGAATGAGGACCGAAACCTCAGTCGATTCGGACGATGACGACGCCTTCTTTGATTCCGAGGACGACGACGACGATCAGGACGAGTCAAAGTAAGACAACGGACTTCATTATCCGTTTAATCCACGTTGCACAGATTCGTTGCTTTTGGTAAACATTCGAGTAAAATGCAAAAATTTCTTGAGACACGAACACATATTTGTTCGCCTTGAAATCATTCCAAATTTTACACAAAGAATCATCTTTTTTAAAGAATTTTTTAAATTTTGAAATTGCAATATTTAAAAAAATTTATTTTTTTCAAATTTATTTACTTATTTTTTATAATCTTACCATTTTACGTTTTACAAAATGGCTTAGTTTCAAAGATATAAGGTATCAAAGTTGAAAGGAAAATTTTGTTTTTTCCGAGAAAAGTTATTTTAATCAAACTTTAAACATATAAAGTTTCATGAAAATAATTCGAGTGGTTTTCGAAATTTTGCATTTCGAATACACGGTTATCAAGTTTTCGTCTCTGTATGAGGAATCACTCCTTGAAATATTTTAGAATAAGTAATATCACCCTTATGTATATAGATTTTTCTATAAACCTGCTAAATAGCACAATTTTTAAATCTTTGCTTTAAGAATGATCAAAACTTTAACAATGTTCTTATGGATGGTATTCTGAATAGACGCCATAGAAACGCAAAATTATTAATATTAGCGTGAAGTCGAGCGGTAAGAATAAGACATGATTCTTATGCGAATTGTAAACGATTTCTTGAATAGTTTCCGAAACTTCATTTGGAAAAGCCGCATTGCGCGCGCGCCTCTGTTTAATACGACGGGCAAAGTTTCAGGAAAAATTAGTTCCGGAGGTAACATTGCGCGCTCGGGAAACGCGCCGCAGTATGTTTATATTTCGCAAGCCACGTCAAACGGGCATTATCAGTTCGTGCACAAGCCCCACGAACTTTTAAACGTGGCTTCTCTGTGAAAAGAAAATTCCCGAAGCGGAATTGAGAATTTCATTTTACAATGTAATCCTTTTGCGATATATATTGTATAGACGGTAAAACGGGAGAGAATTTTTCCCGAATCGTGCGTCGCAATAGAATTGTAATAGGGGGTAGGATTATCGTATCGAACAATTCTCGCTCGAAATTCGATCTTCCATTTGGATTTGTGCGGATTCCACGCGTATCGAAAGAAACGGCAAAAGAAACGGGCACGTAACTTCTCTTCCGTTTCGACAGTTTATTTTGCAAAGTTTTACGAAAACGTTATCTCCGTTGTGCGCTCGTCTCGATTAGAGATCAAGGGCTTAAAAATCGCGCGCGTGGATGGGAGGAAATTCGCTTTAATCTCATCCGGCCAAAGAGAAGCTCATCGACTTTGGATTTAGTGAGGTCTGCGTTCAGATAGCCAGGCAAATAATTAATTACGGCGGTAGCATCGTTTCTATAGAAACTGAGAGAACTCTTTCTATCTCTTTGTCAAACGATGCGTCAAATGGACCTCGCAAGTTCGCTTTGGAGGAGCGCGAGATCGAACACTATTCCCTCGAGAATAAAGTTGCTCGAGCGCGAAATTGAAAACACTGTCGCCGTCATCACATTTTCAAAGACGCATGCTTTACACTTTCAAATGGCGATTATTAAAATACGCTTAATTCACTACTAATCCAGAAATTTGCAAGCGCAAATCTCTTTAAAATTATGTACCTAAGATATTTGCCTATCGAATTGCAACTTATCTCTTGTACGAAAGAATTAATAGCTGATTTATTAGTCTAAGATACATATATTGTATATTATACAAAGTTGTGTTGGATGTTAAGAATATGATTGTAATGATTAACATTAGCGATTTTTTACGGTTGAACCGTTGTTGCTTCAGGACAATTTATAAACTGGTATTCTTTCTATTGTTCATCGTAATGGATTAATCATCAGTATAGAGTTGTATGTATGTGTTGGTATATAAAATACTACACTCTTGTGAAAACAAAGTATTTTATATCCTGCTGGCGGCTTCGAAAATTTATGACTTTTACATATTCATTTTTCTGGCCGATTGCACAGGCGGCATCAACTAACGAAGAAATCGTTTGAATCTTTGCTTGAATTTTTGCAACTTTATATTAAACTACTCGAATCTATTTTGCAAAACGAAATTAATTCTGAATATACGATTTTGACTTACATCGATGCATATCCAATATACTGAAATATGGTTTTGATATACATAAAAGCGTTTAACACAGCTTTTTATAATGAAACGGATCAATTAATAGCAAAAATTTGAAAAATATTTGAGAATTTTATAATAGTATTATATTAATTAAATATTATTATAGATAATATTATAATAGTATTAAACATATTACAAGAATAACATTTGCCGCCTTTTATCAGACAAATACATAACTTTGTGTAATCCCATGAAAAATTTTATTTTGGCAATAACACTGCCTAAAATGTATTTGATTTTCGCTTTTGGCACGTCAGACGTCATACTGAAGTTAACGACACGTGTAAGAACTCTGCACAGACATCTAATACTTCTCCCTAAGGAATAAAAACTCTAGAAGGGAAGAAGAGGAAGAGACAGAGAAAGAAGCGGTTTTATATATATGTATATTGTATAAGTCGCAACGAGTCGAAACCTGATGGAAGGTTTCTTCCTGTTTAAATTTGCACGAGTTACTAGCAGGAACGTCCTGTCTACCTTTTCTTGGCTCGGTCGTGCCTCCTGGAAATTTGTCACGCATAATAAAAGATTATGCCCGATATAAAGAACGAGAATGTTACGCAATTTCGTGAAATTACTGTTCTCAGCAATCTTACGATCCTCGCTCAATATTTCCTCGTTTGTCTAGCCTAGTGCAGTGTCTTTCTTTAACATTACATTTACATTCTATTTTATGGAAGCCTCCTTTCTGTATTATTTCCGTGTTATCGTAATGTAGGATAAGCATAACCTAGTATAATACAATTGGATAAAATAAGATAGAACAACGACGCATTAAATTTTGGGATCAAAGAGTCCCATGCGAGAGCATGCATAAAATATTACGCGGTGCATTTTCTATCCATGAAATATACAGCATGTTTTGCAGCGGTACAGTTGCATATTTAAAAACGTATTAGAGACGATTAAAAATGTTATAGGAAAAGGGTTCTTGCTTTCAAGTTTTATACTCTCAATAAAGTTAGATAGTTTGTTTTTTTTTTTCGATAAAGAAACTTTTCATCGCAATACTTTCTTAATATGCGGTGGATGTATTTTACGCGAAATGACTCGCGCGCTGGAATCTCAGCGAAACTTTTATCCGAGAAAATAAATACCGATTTCAATTATCTGAAAATGTTATCGTACTTCGCGACGTATTGAAAATTTGACTCGGGTACTGCTTTGCAAAAAAATATCGGCATTTTCTTCTTTCATATTATAAAATTTTGCAATTTCTATTATCTGAAGTTACTTCGTCGGCGTCGGAAAGACGTTCGTCGCTTAGCATTTCAGGTCGCGGCGAGCAGTTTGCAAAATAGTATCAACATTAATGTTTCCTGAAATTATGTCTTCGCATAATATTTGCATACTATCACGGAAACGCAGTCTTAGTAATGTTATTCGGTCGCGAGCTTGCATCTTAAAATGTTTCCGGTAATTCTTGTATGTCTTCGGTCTATTTAGTTCGCATGAGGTCACCGCGTGTTTATTGCGTTCGAAGAAGCTGCGAAATCAAAATTTATTTCTCGCGAATTGTATAGGAGGACGCCTCTGGTAAGTTCTCGCCATAACTTTACGAATAACTTTGCGAGTATCTTGTGAGAAATTGCGTGGGAACACTATTGACAAGAAGCAGTCGTTAACCTGTAACTCTCTAACGAACTCTTCCGTGTCATTGTACCGTTTCCCAATTACATTACTACATTTGCGATTTGACTTTAATTCTATATTATCATGCAATTGCATTTAAAACTTGGTTTTTAAAAAATGAAATGGTCAAATAAAAGATCGTGTTTCAAGCGGGGAATTTTTCCCGAAAAACAGATAAAAACATGCAATTTTTTTTACTATTCAAGTACGGAAAATTAATACTTTTTATTTCGTTATTATTTACATCTATTTGCGTTGATGCAATAACGAGATTGTTCATCAAATATGGTAATCTTTAAAAAAATATTTTAGAGAAATGCGATAACAACCTAGGCTTGTATTTTTCATAAAAACGATTGGTTCACTATCGTATCTTCTATGGAATTAATTTTTATCTTACTTTTAATAGTATATTTTTTAATGGAAATTGCGAAATAAATTATTTGTTGGGAAAATTAATTTTTAATGAAAATTATTGATTTCATTATTATATTATTTTCATTAGAAAAAATGGAATAATAATGTTTGAGTGGAATTATTTTTTAATTATATTGTTGTTTAAATTTTTGAAATAAATTTTTTCTTAAGATTAAGAGAAGTCTTTTTATAGCAATTTAAAAAAATACTGCTTTTTTTACATTGCTGGGAAAAAATCAGAAAAAAATTCCTTCTTTGCGAAAAATTGCTATTTTTGTTATGTAAATTACCTAATTTTTAATGTTCTCCATCATATTAATATGATCCAGAGTTTTTCTATTACGCCAATTGCTCTTCGTTTACTACAATTACATCCAACTTCATGTATGTGCGAAAAATCATGGTCGGACTGATTTCTTTACTCCAAGAAAAGAAACCGTCTCAACCATTCTAAGAGAGTGGAAAAATTAGTATTTGTTCGCAGCAATTTATCACTCTTGCATGACTTTCTTCGCAAACACAAAGAAATGCCTAGTCGAAATAGAAATTGTATGTATTACATTAATGTTGTAAAATCGATATTCTTAGATGTAATATTTAAATGAAGATAACATTTCATTGTTGTCGTTTTCAGATAATCGTGTAATAGTAATTGCGATTATTTTGATTGGAACTCTGAGAGTAGCTTAGAAGAGGAGAGCGATTATAAATTAATGTATGTGTTAAAGAGTCATTAGTTCTTACAATAGAATTGCGAGTCAAGATAAGCTTTTAAAAAATTTGTGATTCTTTTCACTCTAAAGAC